TAACCGTTCTCTCGAAGGAGACTCGATAGAGGTCGAAGGAATTTTGTTTCTTTTCTCTTACTTTTTTTTTTTTTTTTTTTTCCATTATTGTTTTGTTCGTTCTCGACTCGTATTTAGGAATCTTATGGTCGTACGGTATATCTGGAGGAGGGGGAAAAATAAAGTATTCGTACGTTAATATTACGTTTATTTCGAATGGTTATAATTTTGACAACAATAATAAGTTGGAAAACGTAAAAAGGGGAGATTCGGTTTTATTAGAAATTGTTCGTTAGGGAAAATCGATCGGTTGCGAATTGAATTTTCGTGTTTTCGATTGATGTTTGGAATTATATAAACAGAATTATAACCGTTTGAAGTAATTGTATGGGTAGTTTTTTCGGATAGGTCACATATGTTTGGTCGAAGGATACACGATATAATCGATAGAATCGTTTTCTATCGGTACCTTTATTTATCGCTTTTTTAATGAATAGAATTTAATTATCACGGATATAATAATTGAATCGGCGTTGTAAATTTAAATCTTAACGATAGATCTTCAACGACGCGACCCGGCAGATGTTTGAGAAAATATCTTATCGTATATCCCGATTTCGAACATTCTGACCTTTTCGGAAGAAAACTTTATTCCCTGACATTTCGTGTTGTTATCCAATTTTTTTTTTTTTTAAAAAGTGGCGAGTAAAAACACGAGATAAAAATATCTCCCGTTTTATTTTAATTTCCGTATTTCGGTTGTAAAATACTAATTTTAGCAATTTTAACAGAATGGAATATTCCTATTTGCCTTCGGTCATCATTTCGTTAGGCTTAAATATAAAAGAGAGAGAAAAGATAAAAGATAGTAAAGAATAAATGCCAAAGTTGGAGGATCTGTTTCGTAATTTGCAATCATTACGCGCAATTGTTTGCAAGTAATTAGGAAAGTTCCAGAGAGGTAGCCGTATTTGCGCGACACGGAATGTGAAAGGACGCGGCCGCAAAAATTTTTGCACGTTTTTCGACGCTGATTTCTGCCCGACACTCTCATTAATTTCTCAAGCTTTGCTCGTCCAATTCGCACGTCTGCGACGCTCGGGGGGAATGAACCGTGACAATTATTTTTTTTTTTTTTTTTTTCCCCCACGAAAATATCGTTGGCAAAAAAGTCGTGATTGATTAAACGCGAACGAAATCACGTTGCACGATTTTGTTTGTTATTAAGTTACCGATGAAAAAAACAAAAAAAAAAGGAAAGAAAAATTTGATGACACTCGTTAATTTACAACACCTAAGTGTTTTTGATCTTTTATTCATTATCTATTTAAATTTAAATAAAGAAATATTAAAATCTTGGAAACGGAATCCTCGTGGATTCCGCAACTTTTTTCCGTATTAATCATCCGATTATATTAATCGTATAAGCATTCTCCACGAAATAAATTTTTATTCAAATAACTATGTAAATCGTCACTTTATATACGTAGTCGTTTTATTTCTTTTATTTACGTTCGGGAAAGATGATAAATACGGTAAAAAATTAAATTTTCATATGCAAATTTGAGACGTTTTCTCTCTCTCTCTCTCTTCTTTTTCTTGTTTTTGTTTCTTTCCGTTTTTTTCCTCGAACCTTTTATACGATCGTTCCCGATCCTCTTCTTATCCGTGTATTTTTCGAAAATGAAAATGACTAACAACAAGCGATATTAAAAGAAGATTTGAACGATGCTAATTACATGTAAATTGCACCTTTTGAAGATGCACAATTGCTAGAAGGATTCGTTAATTCGTTTCTGCACAAATTACCGACACACGGCATAAATGTTTAGATTTGATTCGCGTCTTTTTTGCCGTTTCTGTCACGTCAGTAAATCGCTGGTAGGAAACGAGACAATTCCAAATCTTGTAAAAATACAATTGTTTCAATTCGAATCTTCAATTCGTTTCTCGTCTCGATCATTTATTCAGATTTTTAAATCGATGATCCTTAGATTGATTCCTCGTCAACAACTTTCCAAATAATAAATTAGATCGATATTTAGATCTTGTTATATTTCGCGAAAAAATAATCTTTAACTCTTTAATTTGTATCAAAAAAAGAAAAGAAAAAAATTTGGTCATCGAGTCCCACCACGTGTATTCCTCCACGAGGATATGCTTCTCGGGACGTATAATAAAAGGTTGCAGGAGGGGGAAGGGCCAAATTAAGACGAGGAGAGGGAAAAAGGCAGGAAGAGGTCAGTAGGTCACTCTCACTCGAGAAAGAAGAGACTCGTCGATCGCGTGGAAGGAACGGACGATAATCCCAATGTATCAGGTTGTGCTTTATAAGGTGATCGAGTTCTTTCTTTCTCTCTCTCTCTCTCTCTCCCTTTCTTTCTTTTCCTCCTTCTAAATCGAGGTCTCCTAGCTTATTAGGTATCCACGTGTGTATCTCGCTCGAAACGAACACGAAACTCGTGGCGTAATGGGACAAGTTCTCATTTAAATTTCTAAGACTTTTCGTCATCCCAGAAACGGGTTTAACGCTTTGATTTTTTTTTTTTTTTTTTTTTGAGAGAGAAATCGATTCGATTTGAAAGCGTTTTTTAATTCGTCACAAGGACAAACGAACGAATCTACCACTGTATGGCGAATCTTTCAGATTTCTCGTCTCGATATCGGACATCGATTCATTATCGTCCTTTGTAACGCTTCTCCGCTTCAGAAAGTGGTGGAAGAATCAGGAGCCAGAAGATCGTTCGAGGTATAAAGTTTCAGAAGAAGCGGTTCTCTCGAGATCCGTAGCAACTTTTCCTTCGACGCGGGAAAACTACTTCAGAATTAAACCGACGAAACGAGCGGGCAGACGGTGGAAGTGGGTCGTCGGTGGTCGTGTCGTCGAATGGTGTGTGTATCGCGCGCGCGTGTATCGGTGAATCGTGTAAGGAATGGTAACGAGCCACGTAGTACACGGGAAACGATATCAACCCGTGAAACAGCGGTTCTCAACCTCTCGCCTCGGAAATTCTCCCTCGAAAAATAAAATGTTGGGTCTAATTCTCTAGAGTTGTTTGTTGAACAGGATCGAACCTTCCTTTCTCAGAATCCTCTGTCCGAATTCAATATCATTATATATACCGGGTGTCTGAAAAATGGAGGAAGAAAAGCTCGCGTTCGCATTGGCGGGCGATGAGAGGATCTGATTAATACGATGTTGATAAGTGGAGCGGAGTTGAGGGGGAGGAGAAAAGGTGACGTTAAAGGTACTTGCGAGAAAATGACGGTGAAAATAAGTCGGAATTGGCCGGCCATCAAGCGGGGAGTAATTAGAGTAGCTAGGGTTAAAATACACCGGTCTATATTCAGACCGTGCGAATGCCATTCTGCGCCAATCGAAAGCGTGTATATTGTCTCAAACATTGTGTGCTAACACAACGGTGGTGTCTCTCGATACCGTCTCGCATGCAAATCCTATCCCGTTCACACCTTTTCACCTACAACGCTCTGTCTAACTGTCCTAGTTACACTGCTACGATTTTGACGCGATTCCTTCCAAATTTTTTTATTGCTCGAGAAAATCATTATAATATAACGTAGATAAAAATGTATCAGAGATACAATTTTCTAAATCGTTCCGTTGCAAACTTGTTGCCGCCTGCTCGAGTCGCGGAAACGAACTTCTGACCGTGCGAGCGATTGCATCCAACCGGCCACCACGTGTCTTCTAGACGCGTCAACACGTCTATTTCCAACCCGATTGAAAACAGTTGGAAACGTTAGTCACCGAGGTAATTGGAAATCGATCGGGAAATCGAGTCGAATTTTTCGATCGTCGTAATTATCTTCGGTGGGGGGGGGGGATGAATTTTCGGTTTCACCTGGAAATGAGTCACGTTGGCCACGGGCCAAAACTTAACCAACTTTACCAAGTTTCGCGCGAGAGTGATCAATCGTACGTTCCTGCCACATTTATTACTTTCACGTCGCGTTTCATACAGTTTATTCAACTCGATGTGAACCGGGACAAATTTTCGAGCCACTTCGTTCGAACGTAATTTTTTTTTTTTAGAATCGTTTATTATTAACACTGCTTCCGTGTCGAATTGATAAGAAAAATATGACCGATCAGGCGTGTTGTCTGAAAGAGGTTGGGAGACCCTGAGACGGTATGCACGTTTTCTCTGTGCCGGCACGAAGGTGGTATTCCCTCCGGTAAAAGTACCGTATCCGGTATGTCCGCGTGGCGACTTTCGCGTAACAGACTGTCCACGATCTGTGACAGGAACCTGTAAATCAGAATGGATCGTAAAAAGCTCGTGGGGTACTCGAGTCGCGGACGAGTAACGAGCCTCGATAGCGCGGCTTTGCATCGTTCGTTCGCCATTTTGTCCTTGGTGGGACGCGATAAGAAAAATCGGAAAGATCCACGACCGAAACAGATTTTGCAAACATATTTTTGAAACACACCGGAAAAATCATTTTGTTTTGGACCATTCGTTTTATTTTCTCTTCTTCTTTTCTTCCTCCCAACGAACACGTTGACGAAGGATGGTCACTGCTCGCGCAATATTCCTCCTCCTCTCGCGAGGAAGAGTGGCTCGGTCGCCACTCTAGTTCAAGGATAAAATTCTATCATGGCCAGAGCCAGCAGTGTCACGCTCAGCTGAACCCCTGGCAGCAACGAAACGCTGGAAATCATTTTGTTCCATTAACTTGCCAAGTCGTTTACACCGTAGCTCGTATTGGGGAAAATCTTTCTTTGACTTGACACCGGTTGCTCCCCACCTGCTCTGCTTTCTCTGTATGCAATAATCGATATTTTTCTCGAGAGATAATAATCGACTCGATTTTTCTCTTCCTTTTTTTCACGAGATGAAACGGTACGCTTTCTTTCTGGTTTTTAAATCGTGTTAGTTGAAACGGCGCGGAGAGAATAACGCAGAGCTGTGAGTTGGATTTTTAATTTCCAACTAAACGCGAGTGGAAAAGTAAAAATGTCGAAAGTGGAAATCAGTGTCGTCGGCGGGCAGAGATACACAACAATAATTTTCGAGTGGAATCTGGAAAGGCGGCGAGGTGGAATTAAAGAGCCGGCTGGTGAAGTTTCAACATGCGTCCCACCGGGAATACGAAATGAGTTTTTCGAGGCCTTCAAAGTCGTCCACGGTTGCGTAGGATTTTCGTCCCAACGAAAATAAATTCGTGGTCGATGATTCATGGATTTCCTGCGCGCGTTTTCGAGAGGCCACGTTTGCCTCCTCTTTTTTTCCCCCAACCTTTACGAACAAACCATAGATCCTCCTCCATCTTTTTAAATTCATCTTTAATTTTTTTCGACAGATTATTTTTTGCTAAGATTTACGGAACGAGGTTTTTTTCTTTTTTATTAAACATTGTAACAGAATGGGAATGGAATTTTTCCTTCTTTTTTTCTTCTTTTTTCTTCTTTGCATGCAACTGCACCCATGTTTATCTTCTAATTGCGAAGATGGCCGCGTCGCGTGTTGGCCACGTCTTTCCTTTTGTTCCCAGATCTTATCGGATCGTGATACCGTGACCGGATATGACATCCATTAGTTACGCGTGTTGTATATCGTGCAGAATGGAAACACCGATGGGTGCCGCCGTTTAAAGGGACTGGCAAGGGTAGGGCAAGGTCGCCGATTTTGCAACATTTGTTCGATATATACAGCGATTCTTTCGAGGATAGGAAAGAAAACGAGAGAAAAATCAGGGGAAGACGAGAGGAGGAGTTAAACGGCCGTTAAGGTGGAAAGATCGTTGCACGCAAATTCCATAATTCTGTCTAAATATTATTTAGCCGTGGTAGCCGTGATAGACGAACGCTGAAATCGTGAGCGCGCGTGCGACGAATTTTAATGCCAATTGAAACGATACGCAGCAGTTGTCCACGAGAAATGTGACGAGAATGAATTAGAAGGCCTGGAATAACGCGCGTGGAGACCTGAATGATAGTCAGCGGCGTTAGAGCGATGTGCCGCTAGTCGTCCATCTTGTCCCAGCGTCGTAGTCACTTCGTCCTCGATCCTGTTGCTCTTCCCGTACGCGCGCTTACGTGTTCAACGAAAAATAGTCTCTTCTCCGATCTCTCCAAATTGTGAAACGTTTCTTTTTCTCTCTCTCTTTTTTTCCAATTACACAAAATTGTATCACATTTCCCGTAACTTTCTCCGAAAAATTCGTAAAAAAAAAGACGATCTACTCGAATTTAAACTCGAGGCCCTAATCACGCGAACTCTCTCCAAGGAAAGAACTTCGTTTAAAAAGTTAATCGAGTTATTTCTCGATTATCGATTCGTAAATTTCGAAAATCGATCGCATGAAACCTGGAACAAAAAAAAAGAAGAAGAAGAAGAACGATCTGATCGAACTTGAACGCAAGAGTTGAAAAGCAAGTGTGCAACGCTGGGGCGTGAATGAAGAAACCGCCAAAAACCGCAAAGAATAGCATAACTCTCGGCTCTGCCAGTCAACAAGAAGGAACTCTATCCCAGGACGTCGTTCTCCTACTCCTCCTTCCCCCTCCACAGACGAAGGAGAGTGGAATAGAGAGGCTCGGCCGCAAGAAGCAGTGCTCACTGGCCCGTTTTAGCTTTCCTCTGTTGGCAAGAGCGACAGCACGGATCGGTAGAGACGCGAAAGGAGACGAGAGGGAAAGAGGAGAAGGAGGAGGAGGAGGATGTGTTGGAGGGAGCGGGGCGGAAGAGGGAGGGAGCCAGTTGCGCGACGGAGAGAGAGAGAGAGAGAGGGGCGAAGACTCGCTGTCTGTTAGAGGCAGGCGGCCAGCAGGATCGAGAAGGACGCGTGCTAAGGAACGTGTGGAAGAGGGTACCTGCGCGGCTACACACAGTCAGGCATCCAGCCAGAGTCAAGGCCGCTCACTGCTCCGCCGTGAGAGAGCTACTAACCAGCACGGAAACTTTGCTGCGTGTAGAGTATAGAAGGCGAGCGGCGGCGGCGTGTAGAGTCGTATATAGCGGTTGTAGCCTCCTCTACACTTGCTAGATTGTACGGCCACAGATTCTGGAGAAACCGACACTCCGCGATCGAGTTTCCTACTTGCGTTTGCTACTTTTGCCTCCACTTCTCATATGCTTCCCGATGACCGAGAGAAGAAATTTTTTCTCTCTCTCTTCTCTTCTCTCCTTTTTATGGGCAATAATACAAAAGTTGCAATTTTTGAATCGAGTTTTATTATTGTTCGCTCTTCCTTCTTTTTCGAGTATACTTTTTTAATCATTGTTCGATCGGATTTTATAGTTTTGGATATTCGCAAGGTGTTCGAGTCGAGTCGAGTTATCGCAACTGAAATTTTGCACACTCGTCGGTTCGCGTGACAAGTTTTAGAGAAGAGTTGAAATTTCGGGGTTTAAAATAAACTTCACTCGGATGAGTTCACTGCGCCGTATTGCACGTATGATCGAACTCGTGCGGTATGCTCGGCAGTGGGCTCGAAATTCTGTTTTAGGAATTCGAGGAAGGGAATGTAGAACGCGTTGGCATTGTTGAATAAGTTTTTCAAGATAGAATTCGATCAAATTTTCATTCAAGTTCTAAATAAGATTTTAACCATTACAAATGGGAATCTTATTTGTCGAAGTTTACGAATTTTAACAGGCGGGGGAAACTTTAAATAAAGATCGAAGCGTTTTGTTACATTCGGGTAAAAAGTCATTGCCACATCGTGCATGAATTCAAACTGTTTAGTCACACCAGAGAGATTCCAGACTCTTTCTTCGAGCCCCTCGCACTATGATTCTCCATCTTGCACTCTATAAATACACAGGCTTGGTGAAAAGAAGTCAGTGTCAAGGTCAGCGGCAAGATAGGCTCTAAAGACTCTTGCGGATTATTCGTACAGAACGAATATCTTTTGAATTTCGATTCCTTTCGATCATACGTTTAAATTGCAATTTTTCCTTTTCTTTTTAATTATTGGATAATTTAAAAAAATTAATCCAAATTTTTAAAATCAAATAATTCAAGAAGAATAAATAACGAAACGATTATTCAAATTCAAAGAAACATACAATTTGTGTTATCGATAAATCGATTGTTAATTTCACTAAAAAATAATAATTGAATTATATATATTTCGATGATATTATTCCGCGTCAGAAACTAGCGAATGAATACGAAGAGCGAGCCAATGTTAAGTAGCAAGCAAACCTGTTTGGGGCATTTGAAATGATGGCCTGCGCGCTCTACATAGAATCGTTATGTACCACTTGCTAATATGTACACAAACCGGCGTAGGCATCAATTTTGTGGCAGTGTCAGGTCGGTGCCAATAATTTATTAGCCTTCGGTTTCTCCGATGCAGCAGAGAATCTCCTTCGTCGGGGAGATCGTTTCCAAGAACTTGCTTCTTCGAACCTGTGACGAAGATTTCAAGCAATTTGTTACCAGAAAAATATTTTCTTGTTCCACAAAGATCTCAAGACGTAGAAAACGTTAATAACAAATTGGAAGATGATCGATCGTTTGTTTGATTTTTAATTTTTATCCAATCATGCTTACTAAAAAATATTAGCAAAGCGTTGTTTCGAAATGCGAAAGATAAGATTTCTCTCTCTCTCTCTCTCTCTCTTCTTTCTCGATCGATAACGAACGATTTATTTTTAAACCGTTCCAAAAACCAAAAACTTGGAGAGATAAAAATCTGGGCGAAAGTGTGACGCTTGGAAAATAAGAAAAATAGAATTAATTTATTATTACGATCTTACTTTTTCTCTTCGAGCATTTTTCTTTCAAAAGATCTCGGTTATCGAGGTCAAGAAAGTTGAGTAACGAAGGGAAAAAAATTTACAAGAATAAACGAAAGTGTCGAAGAAAGCAAGAGAAATAGAAAAAGGAGAAACGATTGCAAAACTGAAGTCTGCAGAAGAAGGAAGGGGTAATAACCGAGTGACCATCTAGCCTGGTCACTGTCTCACTGTTCCAGGCGGATATTTTCACGGTGATCAGTACTTCCGGGTGATCCGAGGAATCCGTCCTCGCATTCTTCTTCGCGGAATTGCCGAGAAAGAGATATATATATATATATATATATATATATATACACACACACACA